TGGAAAAATAAGCAAAGAGTGACCTGGAACTTGCTTCTCTCAAGTTTCACCCAAAAAACTGGACTTCATCGTAGAGGTTGCAAGGAAACGCTTCAGAGGAGGAAGTCTCTTTGCTTGTTTGTCTGGAACAAGTTAGTTGACTGTTTTGAGCTATCCTAGAGTGCACCCGGCCTTTTCTCCTTATCAAGTGTCTCATTTATAATGTTCCTCATTGTCTAGCACAGGGGTGCCCACAATTTTTCGTCTGGAGATCTACTTTTCAAATGACGAGCTCAATGAGATCTACCAATGAAAAAACATCTTTATTTAAAAAAACAAGCATATTAAAATCGTTACTGGGACTACTTGCTCTCGCTCTCGCAGCAGCAGCTTCTCAGGTCTCCTCTCATGTGCACTGTCCTCTCCTCCCATGACGCTGCAGACAGGGAGGGGTGTCCCACCCCCTTCCGTCTGCAGCGTTTGACATATTCAGTCGCCTTAGCACCGCGGGAGGGAGCTTAGGTCAGTGAGCCGATCGCGATCTACCAATGTTCGCTTTGCAATCGCCTGGTAGATCGCGATCTACCTAATGGGCACCCCTGGCCTATCACTTCTATATGATTGTGATGATTTATAGAATACATCGTGACAGTTATGCCACCGGGTGGCACTTATTCATTGCCTTCCTTCTGCAGAGAGAGTGATGGAAGCCTGAAGCCTCTGCCCAAGAAAAGCATTGACACCGGCATGGGTCTGGAGAGACTGGTGTCTGTACTGCAGAGCAAAATGTCCAACTATGACACCGACCTGTTTGTCCCGTACTTCGAGGCCATCCAGAAGGTACGTCCGCTCTTGTACGTGTGCCGCCATAAGCTGTATGGGGAATTGCTGATGTAAAACGAATCCTCCTGTAAGGGCTCTCTGTGATGAGTCTTTGGCTTTCAGTGCCGGTAGCCTGGCACTAGAAGAGAACCCCCTTGTTTGCATGCTCGCCTCTCCTGTGCCAAAGTACAACTCTTCCTGCGTTTTTCCTGGGATCCCATCTTCAGAGTCTCCTGCATGACGTGACCAGGGTTCTGTCATCGCAGGGCACCGGAGCTCGTCCTTATTCCGGGAAGGTGGGTGCCGAGGATGAAGATGGCATCGACATGGCATACAGAGTCCTTGCTGACCACGCCAGAACAATCACCGTGGCGCTGGCTGATGGCGGACGACCTGACAACACTGGGCGCGGGTAAGAGGCCTACCTATAAGATGTCATTCTATAGAAGTACTTCGTGTAACACATTTGTGTGTCGTTATTGGACCTGATTTTGATTTAAAGGAGAACTATGAGGGGGGGTGATTTTTCACTCCCCTCATAGTTCCAGCCGACCTGTGACAATGATACTGTCACAGGTCGGCTCAGTAGATCAGGAAGTGAGGGAACACATACCGTTCTCGATCATGTCCCTGCAGGGAGCCGTGACTGTCACTCACGGCTCCCTGCAGGGATTCTCCCCGCTTCGATCCTCCAGCGCTGACTGGCGGAACGGGAGGGGGAGAGCACAGCTGGCTCTGCCTCTGGATAGGCAGAGCCAGCTGTCAGTCACGCAGCTGGGCGGATCCAGACAGTAATGTCGGGATCCGTTCCGGCTACGGCGGTCTCAGCTACAGCCCTCTATATACTGAGCTTAGGGTGACTGGAGGACGCTAGTTTGCGTTCTCCCGTGACCCTTAGGTCTCGTTCACACCTAGGCGTATTGCATATGCGCGTCGGCGATTCGCGGTAAAAAAGTTGCGCGACAAACGCGCGTTTCTGAAGGCTACTCAATGGAAACGCGCAACAGAACGGCCCAAAGTAGTACATGTACCTTTTCAGGCGTGGGCCGTTTTGTAGCGCGTTGGGGACGGGCGGAAATACGCCGAGGTGGGAACGAGACCCATTGAATACAATGAGATTTAGATGTTTGAGCGTTTTGTAGAGCGTTCGTCGAGCGTAGAACGCGCTACAAAACGTTCAGGTGTGAACGAGGGCTAGGGGGGGAAAAAACACTGTCCTCATTGTCCTCCTTTTTAGGTTTCTTTGATCTCTATGACGCCTTTGTCCAATAAAGGGACATGTTTGCTTTTGATTACTGAGTGCTGGTGATTCTTTGCCTTTTTCTCCTTTTTAACTCTTCTTCTTTTTTTTTTTTTTTTTTAGGTACGTTCTACGTCGTATCCTCCGCCGCGCCGTCCGGTACGCTCATGAGAAACTCAACGCTTCTAAAGGGTTCTTCTCCACTCTGGTTGACGTGGTGGTCCAATCGCTGGTAAGTAATGCCACTTGCGTTTTCCAAGTTTTTATGGATTTTTAGATGACTGGAGAACCTGCATGAGGAACGTAAACAGGAATTTTACAAATAAGTCTAGTAAGAAAAGAAGAAAAATAATCTTGTGTTTGGTCCTTTATGGCCGACAAGTTTCCATACAGGATCAATATATTGGACTCGGACCAAAGTAATCTCTGTATGATTTTCTTGTTGGTAAGGTTCTGCAGGAATGCTGTAGCAGAGAATAATGCCGTTTGGCGCTGTGTCCAGTTATCGTTTGGTTTTGTCTGTTTGCAATCTCCTTTCACGGCTCTCGTTTGGTTTTGTCTGTGGGCGATCTCTCCTTTCACGGCTCTCGTTTGGTTTTGTCTGTGGGCGATCTCTCCTTTCACGGCTATCGTTTGATTTTGTCTCTGTGTGCGAACTCCTTTTACACGGCTATCGTTTGGTTTTGTCTCTGGCGATCTCCTTTCACGGCTATGTAATGATCTGGACTACAAATCCCAGAGACGTCAAGCTTATCTCAAGGATGAGCCCAGCTCTTTACTTGGCGAAAATGCTGCGTGTACAAACTTAGTTACAGGAAAAGCAAACAAATACATCAACAAGACAGGCTGCTACAAACATTCACATGCACCCACTACACTATCTTCTAGTACATGTATGATTTCACAGGAGGGGAAACACTGAAAATGTACTTAGCTTAGGCTGCAGACTCCAATAAATTCCGTGATGAGCAGTACTTGGCCTAGGAAGAATGGCTTCTCGTTGCAGTATCCTGGTCTTGAAGCAAGTCCTCTCGTCTTGTGAAGCACCCTCGTACTGTCCCCTCCTGTGAAGCCCTGGTCTTGTGAAGTGCTGGGCTGGTCAACTCCCTCGTTACCTTTCAGCTACTGGCTTTTTATTGAGAGAAACTTGCCTAAAAACAATGGAAGCTACGCCCCTAGACCTTTTAGGAAAATGCAATACAGTTTCCCACCTCTAGGTGGCAGCGTTGTACCATAAATTGCCATCAGTAGTCAAGATTTGATTTGAGCCTTGACCAGGCTAGGCGTGACTTATTCATGATCACCATCCCATTGTGATACAAATCAATACAGGATTCGCTACCCTATTGTGTAAAACCAGTTTGGGCTGTATTGTTGGCCATTTCCATTGTATGAACCGAGTTTCTATCAACAAACAAACAAAACCTCCGTCTCTCTTGCAAATTTATGTGTGTCTGAAAAAGTCCACTAAGATATATCGCAACACAGGCTATCATTTGGTTTTGTCTGTGGGCGATCCCCTTTTCACGGCTATTGTTTGGTTTTGTCTGTGGGCGATCTCTCCTTTTACACGGCTATCGTTTGGTTTTGTCTGTGGGCGATCCCCTTTTCACGGCTATTGTTTGGTTTTGTCTGTGGGCGATCTCCTTTCACAGCTATCGTTTGGTTTTGTCTGTGGCCGATCTCCTTTCACGGCTATCGTTTGGTTTTGTCTGAGGGCGATCTCTCCTTTCACGGCTATCGTGTTGTCTGTGTGTGTGCAATCTCCTTTCCCAGCTATCGTTTGGTTTCGTCTGTGGCCGATCTCTTTTGACACTCTACCTCTCCTATTTTCAGGGAGACGCTTTCCCCGAGATCAGGAAAGACCCCGATATGGTGAAGGATATCATCAATGAGGAGGAAACGCAGTTCCTAAAAACACTCACCAGAGGCAGACGCATCCTGGACAGGAAGATCCAGAGCTTGGGAGAGCATAAGATCATCCCAGGTGAGACGAGCGGGGGCTCCTTCTGCTTCTTCCCTGAATATGGGGGTGAAGGAATCCCAAGTATTTTGTA